GTGACTTCACGTTTTCGTCGATGAGAAAATGCGCTCTCTGTCACTCCCTGCAGTGAGTACTACCGAATTACATTTTTTGCTATTATTTATTTATCATTATCAGTTATTATTAACACTGGAGCCTATGTCCATATATCAAACAGTGATTTTAATTTTATTAATGAAACGGAAGCAGAAGTTATTAAAATTTGCATACGGTAAATAATCTTTTAGAACAAGTTTAAGATGGGTGAAATAGATTAAATTTATTACCTAAAGACGTTAAATCCTCTTATTTATTCCAGTATTCTAGGGTTTTAAGAATATTGATTCTTCGATTTTAAAAAATGGCACCTTAATTCAACAAATTTGGTAGTTTAAAAACTATTTTTCCCCTTCATGACAAAATCGTTCCCATGCAAGTGGGAATGAATATATTCTTGAACAAAAAATATAGAAATGAAAAGTAAACCATATTAACAAATGATATAACATGAGGCTCAAGCTTCAAAAATAAAATTTATATAAAATTACCTAAAATTCAAGTAATTTATTTGAAATAATTTATTTAAATTTAATTGTATATCCTTATCAGGATATACAATTACAGAGGTTTCCGATAGTTGATAATAGGAGAATTGCACTTTGCCGTCTCATTTACAGTTCCTATAAACGGCTAAAACAATTACCCGTTCAAGGTATATAAACGTTCAATATAAAAAAACGTTCAAGTTTAGATATTGAAAACGTTCAAGTTTGGAAAATTAAATATAGCGATAATCATCTCATGCTCAATAAATTGAAGGAACACTAAATAAACTGTATAAATTAACTAAGTCCCTGTAATCAGTTATTGCTAATTACGGACCTCAAACTAATGTTATGCATTTTTGACATGCGATTCCCCAATTACGCAATTCGCCGATGATGCTCAGGAGGCTATACACCAGCAGTTACCTCGAATTGCGAGAGACAATATTTAAAGATCAAGATTCTCTGAAGCACAAGTAAACCTGCTACTACTAATACTACTACTCCTACTATAACAACTACTACAATGTTGGAAAGTCATAACAGTATTCTGCTAGTACAAAGTTAGAAAGTCATAGCAGTATTCTGCTAGTACAATGTTTGAAAGTCATAGCAGTATTCTACTAGTACAATGTTTGAAAGTCATAGCAGTATTCTACTAGTACAATCTTTGAAAGTCATAGCAGTATTCTACTAGTACAACGTTTGAAAGTCATAGCAGTATTCTACTAGTACAATGTTTGAAAGTCATGGCAGTATTCTACTAGTACAATCTTTGAAAGTCATAGCAGTATTCTACTAGTACAACGTTTGAAAGTCATAGCAGTACTCTACTAGTACAATCTTTGAAAGTCATAGCAATATTCTACTAGTACAATGTTTGAAAGTCATAGCAGTATTCTACTAGTACAATGTTTGAAAGTCATACCAGTATTCTACAAGTTCAATGTTGTAAATTCATAACATAATTCTACTAGTACAATGATTGAAAGTCATAGCAGTATTCTACTAGTACAAAGTTTGAAACTCATAGCAGTATTCTACTAGTACAATGTTTGAAAGTCATAAAAGTATTCTACTAGTACAATGTTTGAAAGTCATAGCAGCATTCTACTAGTACAATGTTTGAAAGTCATAGCAGTATTCTTCTTGTACCATGTTTGAAAGTCATAGCAGTATTCTACTAGTACAATGTTTGAATGTCATAGCAGTATTCTGCAGTACAATGTTTGAAAGTCATAGCAGTATTCTACTAGTACAATCTTTGAAAATCATAGCAGTATTCTACTAGTACAATGTTTGAAAGTCATAACAGTATTCTACTAATACAATGTTTGAAAGTCATAGCAGTATTCTACTTGTGCAATGTTTGAAACTCATAGCAGTATTCTACTAATACAATGTTTTAAAGTCATTGCAGTATTATACTAGTACAATGTTTGAAAGTCATAGCAGTATTCTACTAGTACAATGTTTTAAAGTCATAGCAGTATTATACTAGTACAATGTTTTCTACTAGTACAATGTTTTAAAGTCATAGCAGTACTCTACTAGTACAATGTTTTAAAGTCATAGCAGTACTCTACTAGTACAATGTTTGTAAGTCACAGCAGTATTCTACTAGTACAATGTTTGAAAGTCATAGCAGTATTCGCGAGGTGGACCTCGCAGTAACGAGTGACATCTAATGTCAGAAGTTGACGTCTCATCTCTCGGGGATACGAGAACTCAGCTCCCGAGACGCCGCTGCCGAGGAGGGAAGCCTAAGGCAAACAAGCGGTCCAAATGAATGCAGGCTGGTGCGTTAAAGGATATACAAGAAAAGAGGCTCGAATTGAAGCAGTAGGCCACTGTTTGCGATTTAAACAAAGAACCGTAAAGATTTTGTTTCTAAATTGCTTACTAATTAATGTCAGTTTCTAATACGAAGGCGGCTAGCTAAGCTAAAAAGATTTTTTTGTACAGCGTTAGCTAAGCACGGGATTCTTTGTGATTACGAAGCCTCGCTTTAACGAAAGCTCGATCTGGGCGCCTGAGGTTGCAGCGTGACCAGAAAGGCACGCGGGATAAGGAACTAAAGTTCAGCTATCGGGCAGTCACTCGATATTTGTAAGGGTTATTGGTTACCGCTTCATATAGGCCAATAATTAAGCTCTTGCAGGCTTATGGCCGTACACTGGACCGAGGCTCGATCGCCATATGGGAAATTCTAGGCGGCAGTTAATTTGTGCGGCCGCTCATCAGGCAGCAGTTGACTTCAAATATCTTGTCGTGCTTTTTAAATGGGTGAGAACGCTTTACAGGTCCAAGAAATAAGCTTTGGTGCAATTTTTCTTTACTGCAATTCTGTTGAGGACCATGTAGTACTTTTTATCAACAAATTTCTGGCTTTTCTCCTAAATTTGGGCGGATAGGACTTTTTTAGGATGTGAGAGTTTGAATATTAGATCCAAGAGGCATTTTAAATATAATATTACGACTTTTGAACAAAATTGAATTACACAGATATCATAAATTAATAAGTAAATTTATCAATATAGTTCAATTTCGAAAACAATATTTCTAAACGGTGAATATAACAAATTGTCACCCATCTTAGTATTTAGAAATTTATTGACCAGGTCCCGCCANTAGAGCTTTTATTCTCAGAAAAATCTATAGAAAATTATTGATGGCAGCTTCTTTATTCGCACGGGCACAAATATCAGGCTTTCAAGGCGGCAACGAGCAACTCCCAACATTAACAGTGGACGTCACACATTAAGAACGCCGTAAGTTAATCAAAAACTCGATTGGGACTTGACATTGCAGTTCCAAAGATGTGACCTCAGGTTTTCGCCGACGTCAACTTCATCAATTGAGTTACCGAATAAGAATTGGAGCCACAAAAGGAGGTCTCGAGAACTGAAACAGATTTAAACTTCCTTACTGCTGCAAGATCGGCGATAAATTGAGACGGTTCAATTTTATGCCGCCTACACGTGTGGAGGACTACAGGCTAGTATACTTCGATGATGATTCATTTATAAACGCTCCCTACACTATTTAATACAATTAATTTCAGAAACAGAAATGCAAATAATTACTCTTTAACTCTACGTCGAACTAAAGCTTTGAGATCTTCTGCATAAATGAAACGAAAGGCCGTATAAACAGATAATTATTCCAGTAAAAAAGTCTGCTTCAAATACTCCTGGCTCCGTATCCCTATAAAAAGACTCATCTCTGCCAATTAAAAAAAGGAACATCCACTAATCTATGCAACACGATCAATATTCTGTTCTGCGTTCTTTTATGCTTCGCTTGGCTAATGCGTGGCCAGCCTCCAGGAAATATTCAGAGCAGAAACGCGCGCGGCGATCCACGTGCATATTCAGCAGCGTAGCCTGACCAGAAGCACGAAGGAAAATGTGGTCGCCGCGAGGAAACTTTTCAACCACAGCGGCTTGCCTGTGAGGCCCAAGCAACGATGGTACAGAAACATGTCTTACAATAAAGTAACGCCTGTAAAAAATCGGCGACTTCAGAATAGAATAGTTACACTTCGGAAGTGGTGCAGTACAGTATTGTTCCAAGTGGTGCAAACAGTATTGTTTACTACAATATTGTTCCAAGAGATAATCGTGTCATCCGCTCAGTAGAAAACGTCGAGGGCACGTTACAAACTTTGGAAACTGTGAATAAGATTAAAAGAGACAAATGAGACACGAAAAAGTATATGAACAAATAAAAACAGTTATGTACAACACTAAGAAGATCTACGGAAGAGTTTCGTCTTTAGGCGGCGACGAATCACCGGCACTGAAGTGGCTCATGAGTTGGATTAAGCGTATCTCAAAGCGCTTGCCAAACTAAATTGCAATCGAATTATACGATAGATTTATAGGAATTAAACAAAAAATAGAGCAAAAACGCAATGATTGAGGAGATTCAGATAAATAAAAAACGAAAGAATTTCGTTGTTAAGAATCCGATGAATTACAATGATAAACATTAATTATTCCTGTTAAACTCAACAGGGTTATTTTGAAAATTTCCAAAGTTATTATTATATACCATTGTCAATGAAATAAATGCCCTCGGCCCAAATAAATTACCGATACAATGCATTTTATCGGTGTTGTAAATATAGACATTCTTCCTATTCATTTCGGATACATCTTCGACACACGCGCTGCTCCAACCTCTGTTTTCTTGAGGGGTCTAATTGTCGTGCAGGCTTCAGGAGTGGTAGCAGTCGTGAGATGAAGCTGCTGTGTCCACTTCAGGCACGGTAGTTAATTATTATAGCGTTACATTGTAATTCGTTACGCAAGTCAATTAAAATTCGTTTTTATTGCATGCAAATGCGCTATTTATTATGATCGTATATTTAATTCATTTCTCAGAATCCAAGTGAATAATTGTTTCTTTCAAGTGAATATTTTCACATGTACCTAAATACATAGTCCGCGAACTGATTGAATATCAAAGATCAAATTAAAACCCAGCGACAAAGCTCCGAACCCAGCACCAATGTCAAGCCATACCCTAGCAATGCCCAGCCATACCCTAGCAATGTCAAGCCATACCCTAGCAATGTCAAGCCATACTCTAGCAATGCCAAGCCATACCCTAGCAATGCCAAGCCATACCCTAGCAATGCCAAGCCATACCCCTAGCAATGCCAAGCCATGCCCTAGCAATGCCAAGCCATACCCTAGCAATGCCCAGCCATGCCCTAGCAATGCCAAGCCATGCCCTAGCAATGCCAAGCTATACCCTAATAATGCCCAGCCATACCCTAGCAATGCCAAGCCATACCCTAGCAATGCCAAGCCATACCCTAGCAATGCCAAGCCATGCCCTAGCACTGCCAGGCTGAGTCTGGCAGCATTAAAGGCCGTCATAATTTCGTTATGAACAAGTTACTGGAGATCGTCATGACAAGTGCGAGGTGCGTGAGTGGCAACCAGAGCTCTGCCGCACCTGCGCTCCATTCTGCACCAAGACTGTTTTATTTTTTCTTGGTAAATTTAATACATAAGGTTAACAATAATACGATACGAATTTAGCAGGTATCATTCAAGTGAACTCGTAATGTTTGATTTGTCAGTATTAGATTAGCAAAACATTATTTTATTGTAACTCTGGGACAACATCCAGCGTTAGAACAATTATTGGTCATAGTTTGATTCAGATTACTGAACGAAAGCTTAATAGATTCATGCTCAATAGATCTATACGTCTGACTAAATAAATAGTATTTTTCTAGAAAAATTACGTTCCTGACCCAATGTAGAGCTAATTTTGTACGTTTTAAATGCACATGCTTTAAGCTGCGAGCGTGATTGATGGTGTAAAGAGATATTTGGAAAGCGGATGTAGGCTTTTACAAGGAGGGATTTTGCAAGACAAAGTCTAGATAATTGTTGAACGAAGAAAACATCAACAACATAATTTCAACGCTACCAAATATTCACATCTTATTTCTTGTTATGCAGAAGATGTTCATAATTTTTATTAAATGTATTTTGCTTGACTAGAGGTTTACAAGCCACCAGAGCTAACGGCACTCTTCTCGTAGCAGCTACACTCACGGCACTCTTCTCGTAGCAGCTACACTCACGGCACTCTTCTCGTAGCAGCTACACTCACGGTACTCTTCTCGCAGCAGCTACACTCACGGCACCCTTCTCGTAGCAGCTACACTCACAGCACTCTTCTCGCAGCAGCTACACTCACGGCACTCTTCTCGTAGCAGCTACACTCACGGTACTCTTCTCGTAGCAGCTACACTCACGGCACTCTTCTCATAATTTGTAATTTCTTTATCTAATTAAAGACTGAAAACTATTTAAACAATATATCTTTTAGGATTTACGGGGGTTTAATGAAAGGCCAGGCCACCATTCCAACTCCTGGGTAAATAAATTGGAAGAATAGCGATGGGAAATTTCAAGGACAGACGTCAGCAGAGGTCGAGATTTGAAGGCCATTTTAATTAGAATTGTTCGTTGGTACAACGAATCGAAGCCATGGCCGTGCGACGGTCGGCAGAGACTGGATGACTCAGCAGAAGGATTCTTCAAACGAAACGAGCAAAACGAAGATTCTATCGCAAAAACTACATGAACGAGAGAAATATATTGAAACATAATTATCAATTAATTTTATGAATGAAAATAATAATAATAATACAATAATTATTATTATTTATATAATATATAACAATAATGGATGAAAATACCTTGAAAATGAAACTTGCATAAACAATTTATCAAAAAACACAAATGTATCGCCGCTAAAACTTCATTAGAAAAGTAAGGAAGAAAAATTATTAACTTACTGAGTAGGTATTAGCTTTCTCAAACCATTAAGATTAAATCGGTTCCTGAGCTTCAGGGGCCATACTTTCAAAAAAAGTTAAGAGATCGTAAGTTCATCAGCCAATCATTGACGGCCTTTCAAGCAAAATCCACCAATCAAAGCCAAGAAAATAGAGCGTAAGTACTTACGATCACATAGCGAGTTTAGAAAGTATGGCCCCTGTTCTGCATTTTAAGAATCATTTGGTGACAACAGAAAATGAGCTCCGAACTGCAACTTCACGGGGATACAATAGCGATCTCCTTGAGAAATTTTTAGTCGCAAGTCAAAACACAATTCCAGTGATAACCGAGGAAGAAAGCATTGCATAGATAAAGTACTTGTGTTTCAATGCACTAAATAATATACAAAAACATTATAATGATACACGAAGGAGCTGAAATTAGCACCTATATAGAAAAGAAAATAAGTATTCAGTGCACACGAATTAAATGTGAGAAAAAGTGTTAACCGAATCAGTATCGAAAATGGGATCCATACAATTATTCTGACATAAATAACAAGGTTCATATAAATAAGAAGGCTTACCTAATAATCAGTTAGCATTTTGAATATTTATTACCAAAAAAACTAATGCTTTACTAGTGAAATAGGAAGCAAAAAGTTTCACAAGACAAAAAAAAACAGGATGACATATGATGATATATTTCATAGACGTGAAGGAATTTCAACAAACATCAGCATCGTATACGCTGACAGGTTGTCAGGAAATGACTCCAGTCGCCGTTCGCCGTATATATCATCGCCCAAGAGGTGGTGGAAGGTTTAATAATTCAAGCGCGCTGAAGTTTTGACAAGAAGGCAGTACGTAAACTTCAGAAAAATACAGAAGTCAATAAGAATAGAAGTAGGAGACGACGATTGTCAAAAACCAATCATATATTTTCAAAGGGCCGTCAAAAGTTGATAGCAATCAAAGTGATGCATAAGCAATACATTCCTAGTATTGAAATGACGGAATGGAGACTGACTCATACATTTGTAAACTCGTTCGACTATAAATTTCACGAATATATATATATATACTTTAAATTTCAAAAACAGTATATCCAACAATTTTCGTTATTTTTCATACCAAGCAACGATTAAATAGTTAATAATACAAGGACGAGCAAAAATAGGAGAGACAAATTAAGAACGAGAGAAGAAGAGCGGCTTCATCTCCAATACAAGGCACGTCGATGAACAGGACGATCACAGTGAGATCTGAAGACGCGACAAAGGAAAGCATGCAACGCAAAATTTACAAAGGTTTCTGGGTTTTGAGAATGACGAAGCATGATAACATGCAAGCTTCAAGACATCCGCGAGGATGTCATAAACAGAAGCAAGCAAGAAGACGCCAGTAAATAGAAGAACAGCATAGCATTATCAGGCAGTGATGGAAGCTGCATCACCCAATGTGTTTTATCCTCTACACGAGTTCTCAGAGGAGATGGAAAATTTTGTTCGAAGAAAAACAAAATAATTTTCCAAGCCAAACTTTCCTAGAAACTAATCAACATTTTTGCACTTGAAATAAACATTCCAAAGTAGATAATTTTGCATTGACGTCTCAAAGTATCGAAAGTTTTTTACAGAAAATAACACGTTTTACATGAATAACTTCTGCCGAATTTTACTAATACAGAAACAATTATATTCAATGCTTAATTTATATCTTATACTGTGTCATAACGTTTGAAAAGATACGAAAACATTTTTTTCATGCTAGGTTTAAAAAGCTTTTAATCAGAAAAAGGTCCTAGTCAGACCAAATTTATTCAAAAGTGAACAAAGTGGCCGAAACAAATATATACTATTTACTAGCATACTAGTGTCACTAAAACGCTAGTGTCACTAGAACATTAGTGTCACTAGAGCACTAGTGTCACTAGAACACTAGTGTCACTAAAACACTAGTATCACTAGAACACTAGTGTCACTAAAACACTAGTATCACTAGAACACTAGTGTCACTAAAACACTAGTATCACTAGAACACTAGTGTCACTAGAGCACTAGTGTCACTAGAGCACTAGTATCACTAGAACACTAGTGTCACTAGAGCACTAGTATCACTAGAACACTAGTGTCACTATGTGTCACTAGAACACTAGTATCACTAGAACACTAATGTCACTAGAACACTAGTATCACTAGAACACTAGTATCACTAGAACACTAGTGTTAACATATATTTCAAGAGAGCCAAAACGAAAAATAACTTGATCTTCTTATAACATAAACTCTTAGAACAATCAGTCATTTTTTCATGATTTGGCATCCGAAAGTCGGAAGCGAAACAGAATAAAAAATGCAATGAATGCCTTGGTGCTCAGAACCTGAAGGTCATGGTTAATGCCAAGTTCGTGCACTTTAGATCACTGACATAGATTAAGGAACACTGACGACATCACACAAAATTTCATCATAACCTTCGTCATTAAATTGAATACTTCCGCGTACGAAAATGATTTAACCGAAAGCTCAACATGATTTTGCACCAGCGCCCCATTTAAATTTTGTCTTCCATTCCGCACAAAATTGTTTCATGCTTGTTATCGAAAATGAACAGACGTGATATATTGAATCGACGAGGGTAATCAAAAGTGATAAATTTTAATGATCTCGCATTCGTCCAATTTAGTACATTAATGCGTCCTAAATAATATCTTCCATCTTTTCGATGCAAAGTTTCATTTTTTAGAATACACTAATAAATGCAAAGCGAAATAAATAGTTGCTGAGTAATCTAGTCTGACTTTTTCGTTTATTATTTAACTCTCGTGTAATGAAAAAAAAACGAATAGGATTATTCCAAGAGGATGAATAGGGTTATGAATGCAGATGGACGAATTGGAGAAATAATTCAAGGACTAATACGAAGACTAATTTGGAAAATATATCAAGCGTACGATTACAACACAATTTTCAATCCGATAAATCCTATTATAGAACACGCATCGTGTAGCTCTGCTTTCATAGGAATTAAGACTGACTCAAAATAAAGATATTCATACGTCTTTCAGTTTGCATTTCAGTTAAAGAATTTGTGCATGTGATATATTAGAACAGCCAGTAAAACTGATAACTTGCCCGCACAATAAAGTAACATTCAATCGTAAATCAAGTCGCGTCATATCAGCAAAGAATTGTTCTAAAATTTTGAATGGCCTTAAAATTGAACGAAAAATTTCGAAATCTTGCAATAATATATTTGCTATAAAATATTAAAATAAAATGATTTCGCTCGAAAAAATGGGAATGGGCCAACACTAGGAACGAAGTGAATTCATAATTTCGATGTGCG